TTATAGTCATTATAGTATGATTTAGAAATAATATTTAAATGGTGCTTTAACCCTCTGGATTCAACGAACACACCAGTGCATCCAAATCACATCACTGATTTAAGACAAACGTGTTGAAAGCGTAGGCTTCAAACTATATATCAATGTCTATGCATATTGATATATGCATAGACATTGATATATGTATATTTTGTGTGACGGTGGTACTGTTAAACTATAAAATAATCCATACAAAAGCAAAAATGTTCAGACTCACATTCTGTGTGTGTACATATTAAAGAACATGCCACTAGATATTTAGGATTGAGGTATTCATTTTAGTTTGATATTGCAAAGCCCCATTTGCTGACAACGGTTGGTGTAGGTCTTCCACAGTGCGGAGTAGGATTAGGATTAATCATCAGAATCAGAACCAGAATACTTTCATAATCCCTAAGGAAATTATGTGGGTTACAGTTGCTCCAAAACAGTAACGGTAACAGACTAAACTAATTAAATAATACAATATATTACAAAGTTTACAAATGTAAGAAAAAGCAGTAATGTATACAAATTGCTTAATTATAAATCTCAAGAATATTACAGAGGAGAAATATATATATATATGCCATTTAACTGTAACCTGTGAAACATTTGTTATTTTACTGTTGGGCGAGTGCAAAAGGGTGTAACTATTGCAGTGGATTGGCATGTGGACCTCAGAGGGTTAAAACGAAACCAAATTAGAATAGATGTAACTCACTAGATGAGTGATTTTTTCAAAATAATTTCCATGCATGCTTGCACACCTGTAAACAGATCGCATTGTTTGGTTAAAAGGAAACCACAGGTTTGGTTGCTTATGGAAACCGTTAGGTTTTTCTTTCTTTGTTTAGAAAACTGCTAAGCTGGGTTATGTTAGAGCAGTACCTGCAGCATCGCTCCTCATGTAAAGAAGAAGCTATAGCGATGGGGAAAGATTACCCATAAAAGAAGGACAACAGGTAAATAGGATCTATAGCTTAAATGTTTTGGCTAATGTCTTTTAGACTGATAAGAGCTAATCAGCAAGCAAACATGTTTCCAGAGTGTCAGCAGCATTTTGCGTCATATTTGTGGATGTACCCAGTGTACTCTCTGCTCCACTCAGTATGTGTCACAATGATGCTTGGCTTATAAAGACAGGTTTCTTTTTTAGGTTTTTTTTACAACTATCATCTTGCTGGCCAGTGCACACCAGGCACTGAGGTTTTAATGTCCACTGACTTTTTTTTCTCTTGTGATCTGCTGCAATAGGACTCTCTCTGTTTGAGACCTGCATTATAGTTTAAGTACTTTCCTCAGCACTGTGGATGAGTGCTGTGTCGCTACATGTAACAATAAAACTTAAAGGGGAACAGTAGAGTGGGCTGAGAAAGAATTGGTAAAGCAGGGGAAGCTTGGCATAATTATGCATATATAATCATAATAATAAAGTGAGGTAAATGTGCAATGGGAGTGCAAACTTTTAGCTTTATTTCAAGGCGTTTAACAAAAGCTTTGCCTAAATGGTTAGGAGTTACACCCATTTTCATGTTTAGTCCTCAAAGACTCAAAAGTAACTGGACAACTGACTGACAAGCATTTTCCTGGCTGGCCAAAGCTTGTTACCTCATTATTCCAGAATAAATTGAGTAGATAAAAGATCTGGAGGAGATTCCAAGTGGTGAACTTACCTTTAGTAGCTGTTCCTGGAGTTCTCAATGCTATCAATGCCAAGTCCAGAGGGATGTCAAAGCAATTAGTGCATGATACTAGAATTGTTTCTCTAGTTAAGAAAAACAACTTCACTGCATCTAGCCAGGTGAAGAACACACTCTAGGAAATGGTAAGAAGAGAAAAGTATGGGGGAAAAGAAACAGCTCATACTTATCTGCCAATCATGCCGGAGTCAGTTTTATGGCATGGACATGTATGGCTTCCTGTGGAAGTGGGCCACTGGTGTTTATCGATGCTGTGATTGCTGATAGAAGCATCAGGATGAATTGTGAAGTGTACAGAGCTGTACTCTCTGCTCAGATTCAGCCAAATGCTCCAAATCAAATCAGACAGCACTTCACAGTGAAAATTGATAATGACCCAAAGCATACTGCAAAAGTAACCCAAGGGTTTCTTAAGACAAAGAAATGGGAAAGTTTTTTAATAGGCCAGCCAGTCACCTGATCTCAACCCAACAGAGCATGTTTTCAGTTATTGGAAACAAAAATGACGTCATAGTGACTCACAAACAGCCGCAACTGACGGCAGCTCCATAAAGGTCTGGCAGACTCCAGACAGTCATTGACTGGAAAAGACTTTTTTCAAGTATCCAAGTATCAAAAAACATCCTTAGATTTTAAATTATGTTAGTTTGTCAAATTAGTTTTGAGTCTCTGGAAATCAAATCTTGATAGATTGGAAATCCACCGTGGTTGTGTACCGGTGTTGTGTCCGCACGCAACAGACAACTTAGAGAAGAGCAAAATTCATTTTGTATAATAAATTACATTTTGTATCTCTGTTACTAGCAGCCTTTTGGAAGAATGCATCATTTGTCCCAATTTCTTTACTTGAATCTATGAAAAGTCTCAAAGATAACCCAGCTTGACAGTAACAAAACAATGTTTTTGCACCAACAAGGTGATTCCCAAAGAGCTATTAGCCAAAAACTGTGGCATCTCTCAGCATGTGTGAAGTGTGTGCTTAAAAGATTTGAGGAAACTGGACAAGTGGAGGATGAAAGAAGTGTCAGGAAAAAAAAACCTACATCCAGCAGATGAGCAGTATCTGAAAGTCATGTCTTTCACAAATACGAAAAATCCTGCAAAGGACCCTTCAGCTGATCCACCTACTGTTCGCTGAAGCCTCATCAGAAATGGTCTCAAGGGAAAGGCGTCTGTCCAGATGCCAGTCTTCAGTAAGAGGGGCAGGGAGAAAAGGCTGAGGCATGCCAAATTACACAAGAACTGGACTGAAAATCAGTGACAAGAGGCCATGGATTGGCCTCCCCAGAGCCTGGACCTCAACATTAATGAAGCAGTGTAGGATCATCCTGACAGAGAACAGAACAAAGGTCAGCCAACACCCAAAGAAGAGCTTTGAATGTCCTTCAAGAAGCCTGGAGAACTATTCCTGGAGACTATTTCAAGAAATTACAAGAGAGATTGCCTAAGAGAGTTCAGGCGGTGTTGAAGAATAAAGGTGGTCATACCAGTACTGACTTTCAAGTTTGTTAAATTGTATAAACGCTACTTTTGTCTTATGTACTGTATTTCCATGTACCTGTTTCACATGTTTCTCATAAAATGAAAACAAATGACTCAAGACTTTTTCACACTCCTGTAACTGTGTCTCATTTTGATGGACAGAGATTGCCTGGTGATGCACTTTGTTTATGTCACAGTGAGCAAAATCTGCAAATTGATTTAAACAAAAAAATCTTGAGTATTTGCCTTGCTCTTTAACAGTGATATGATGCATAATTGGCTAACCAGTGTGACGCAGTGATCAACCTTTCTTCTTTAAGCTCTCTCTCTTTATTAACCTTTTGTTTCAAACAAAATGTGACACTATTATAAGACGCCTTAGGGGACAAGAAGAGAAAATAAACAGCACAGGTTCAAAAGAGCAGAAAAAGCAGAGAATGAAAAGTAGAAGGTGAAAGCAGAGGGAAGAAGGGTGACCAAGCCATCCGTCTGTGACTCTTTGGTTCCGTAGTGAATGCTGTCATTTCCCCTCAAGCCCCTTTAGTCACTCATCTGTGGCCGACCTTGCGCTGCCATGTGGCCTGCTTCTTTTCTTCCACATCACACACACTGATTTGTTAGAAGCAGAATTGAACAGTTTTGTGTCATTTTGCTGCTCCTGAGCGAGTTGACGCCGCCTGGCTCTGCAAGACAGCTTGAGTGCTGAGCCAACATCCCTCGTGAATTCAGATTCCTATTTCTGCATCTGTAATCCTCCACTGACGATTTAAATTAGTCAGACATCAGGAAAACTATTCAAGGTTAGCTGCCTCAAAGCACAGCAGAATGCAAAAGCTGGACAGTCGACCTGTAGATAAATGTGAAACATGCCGGTGATATTTACAAATACCGAGCTACACATGTGTAATTTCTTTAATATTCCAGTAACAGTGCATCATATCAAAAATGTGTCACATTGACATCTCGGAGCCTCCCTGTGAGGTGAACTGCTCAGAGTTTGTTTGCTTGGTGGAAGTTGTGCTGGGAGGCTGTCAGAGCTCATCTTGGCTGGGGTGACATGTGCTCAGGCACCCTTGCACTATCACGAACTACATCTCCTCTTTCCTGATGCTTATCAGGTCCCCCAGGCGTTTTATAAAGAAGAAGCCTAGCTTTGTTTACCATTTGTTCTTCCTCATTGCACAGTCTCCCCAATCTTTAAATCATTTAGGGTCTAAAGGGCGATGCCCAGAGCTTTAAATGTCCTAGTCTGATAGGCATATGAATGCAATGGTTAGAAATAGTTAATAAACAGTCGTGTTTGACAAAGATCTGCCAAAAAGCTATGAGAGAATGTTTTTCAAACAACAAGACATGCTTTGTTGCATTAACAAATAAAAACCCATTGTGATATACTTGCTTTCCCCCCTCATTTCTTCAATTATAACTGGAAGAAAAGCTTCCAAAATTTGTTCCACCGCGTCATTGCTCAGAAGATGAACCCAAGGGTGAAACAGCATCACGGTGAATTAATAAGCCAGTGAAACTGAGGCTGAGATGCTCACTCAGGCTGAAGAAGAAATACGAGGTTTGAGTTAGACTGAAACTGAAATGTGTTTTGGAATTGGCACCTGCCCCAGTTTTAATACTCTTGTGTCACTACCATCCAAATAAGAGCATTAAGTCTTTGGTAATTGATCCATAAAACAGCTTCTGTTTAAACCTAAAATTAGATTAAGGATTCTATTGAATGAAAATAAAACCTTGAGGCTTTTCTATCATTATTACTGTATTTAAGACCCCAAAGACACTGTGGCCATAGAAAATACATTTATTTCATTATCACCATGGTGCTGACATACTCGTAATTATTCTGTGCAAATAGGCAGTGAGTCATTCTCGTACACGTGATATACACAAGCTGGGACTTGGCTTTAAAAGTAGGTCCCTCACCCAAAGAGTATCGGACCTTAAGTGTTCGTGAAAGATTTTGAGAATTTAAGAAAATAATTTTCACAGCTGGCCACTATATACAATCTGAATGTTCCCAGTAATTTGTTCTTTCTGCACTTTTTCCTCCCAGTTTGTTAATCTGTCTTGAAACTCACTATTGAACACAGAATACTTATAATTATACAATCGATGTTTGTTCTCAACAGGAGTGCAAAGTGTCCAGCAAGCTGGAAGGAATATGATGGCAGCAGTGTCCTCACCAAACACAAATGCATCTTTACAACATGAAAAAGAAACAGATCCTGAAAAGGCACTCTGTGAATCACAGGACACATCCACGTTCCCGGTAAAAGTTCATACATCTATCTCCGCCACATTATTGTTTGTTATAGCTGGTGAAGGCTTGCTCTTCAGTCCCTCTGTGGCACATCTTGAAGTTTCCGTGAGGAGCAAACGAGGAACGCAAAGAGCGAGGAGAATGGTCTTGTACTCTTTGCGGAAATTTTGGTTGAGCAGTCCATATATGATGGCATTGAGGCAGCTGTTGAAGTACGCCATAAAGTAGCTTGTGACAAAAAGCCACTCGGGTATGTTGGGTGCAACCTTCGGAGGATTTATGGCTACAGCCAGGCCTATGAGGTTCAGTGGGGCCCAGCACACGGCAAACAAGACAAACACCATAAACATAGTCAGGAAGTTCCTCACATCACTAGGTTTCAGTTTGGTCCTTTGCTCTGGTTTAACTCGGTGTTTCACCTGAATGACGAGCACCCATATCCTCATGTAGCAGTAGGACACCACCAGCAGAGGGATCAGAAAATGAATAATCACCACGGAGATAGTATAGTATGAGCTAACGGTCTGAGCAAAGGTGCAGGAGTAGATGCGAGGGTCGTACTGCAGTGAGCCGACGAAGAAGTTGGGAATAGTGGCAATGGCGGTGAGTAGCCAAGTAAGACCCAGGTAGCAGAGCGTGTTCCTCAGGCTATACAGACGATCGTAGTGGAGACTGTGGCAGATGTAGCAGTAGCGATTGATGGCGATAGCCGTGATGTTGAAAATGGAGCCGATAACACTGAGGCCCATGATGAAGCCGCTGACCTGGCAGTGCAGGTCACCCATAGTCCAGTCATTGTGAAAGATGGCTGTCAGGACCAGTGGATAGGGGTACAGCGCCACCACCAGGTCTGCCACAGACAAACTCACCACAAAGATGTTGCCTAAAGAAAAAGAAAAAAAAGGAGGTTATGAAAACTGACAAAATGTGACCAAAAGAGAAGGTAAAATATGCAGGATCATGTTTGTAACTTTGCTTATTGGGACAGTGGAGGCTTGACTGTGACTTTCCCTTGATTAATAATGTGTTTCATTAGTAAACAGGGTTTTTCTCCTTAATCTAACCATGTAGTTTTAGCATTTTAGCCAAACAAAGAGTGATAGAAAAGGTCAAATTCACAACCAAAGTCAAATAAAAGTGCAAAAAAGCAGCGATACATGCATCTGGTTTTTGCACATTCCCCATGTTAGGAAACCTAGCTAGAGAGGTATCCAGGTGCACTGGGAGTTAATGCTTAAGGGGTATAACCCTTCATGCATGAAAACATGATCCTGATGTTAGTATTTCATGAGCTGGGAGCAGGAATCTCTACATCCTTTTCATACTACATTATTTTTTACTGCCCCAATCTGGATCCAGGCCCATACTGAATTCTCTGTGTATGCTAATGCTGCTAGGTGTAGACGAGCGGTCTAAATGGGTCCAGCTGGAAAAATATTTTAACTACTAGGAAGCTGATTGCTGTGAAATTTTTCACACTGCAATATTTCCTAATTGGCACTTATTGGTCATTATATTAGGCACACCTGTTCATATGCTCATAAATATAAATATATGGTCAATGGCAGCAACTACATCTACACATTTAGACATGGTCAAGAAAGCTGCTGACGTTCAAGCATCAGAATGGAAAAGAAAGGCAATTTTTTGATGGTGTTGGTGTAGTGGTGTGGGGAATTATTTCTTGACACACTTAGTGCCCTTTAGTGCCAACTGAAAATCATCAAAATACCACAGCCTACCTGATTATCGTTGCTAGCCATGTCTTTCTCGTTATGAGCACAGTGTGCCATCTTCCAAAGGCTGCTCCCAGCCATAACGTTCCATGTCACAAAGCTCAAGTCATCTCAACTGGTCACTAGAGCTCAATCCAGCAAAGCACCTTTGTGGAACAGGGGATTTCTATCCTGAATCTGTGGCGCTATCATGTCAATATGAACTAAAATCTCTAAAACTAAAATGTTTCCAGAACCTTGTTGAATCTATGCCACAAAGCATTAAAGCAATTCTTAAGACAAAATAGGGTCCAAAGCTGTACTAGCAAGACATTCCCTACTGTATATAGTTTTTATTTTAACAAATATTCGGTGAATTCTCTGGATATTCATGTCCCTTGCAAAGACAAATTATAACTGACTTTTCATGGAGCCCCATCATCAGCTCAACCTATTTTGTCCTGTACTTTGATTAAACCCAGATTTAGTCAATTTAGCTAGTGTGAGCAAAAGGTTATCTCCCTATGGGCAGGTCCATCCCAATAATATGCTCTTCGCAGTATAATAATGCTTCCTCGCTCCTGGGAAAATGCAGTCACATACTTAGAACGCAGTTAAAGTACATATCAACAAGGACGCGGGTGGTTTCGGGGTCCGATTACATCCAAACAAGCCCCCATCCTCCCGAGGTCAGAGCTGATTCTGGTGTGACACTGGATCTCCTCAGATGACATGAGTTATAGAAAATGACATGTGATGTTGTTACAGTGCAGCTGTTCTGGGTGGGGAAGAATAAAGCAATAAATCAAATTGTAAAGTCAGATAAGAAGACAGATAAGAACAAGATACGCTGGCGCCATAACGCAATTGTGTTGGTTTTGCAAAATAGGGATTAACCTTGTGTGAGGTTAGAGTAAATGTGCAATATGTTAAGGACAACATAAAGCTGTTGTTTTGCAGATCGAGTTGGTCCATCTTTTTTAGAGATTAAGCGCTTTACTGTATGTTAAAATGCTGAGTGACAACTTATGAAGCCAGAATGTAAAAGGAGCAAAGCTCTTGCTTGCTCAGGCAACAGCTGAAACAACAGCGCTGGAAGTGGATTTGAAACATATGTGGCCATCAATCCGCATTCAGGTCCTGTTGTAATCTCTGCACGCCAACATGGCTGCATTATGTTGTTTAGCAACCGGTCTAATTTCATTTCACTCCTGGAACTTTATTCAAACGGTGTGCTAACGAAGCAGACAAAACAAACAGGGGCACAGAACATTTAAAGTTTCATGAAGAAGAAAATCAGATGGTTGATTTCACCATTTCCCGCCGATCTGGAGTTTTTACAGACAAGTCAATTTTCCAAGTCACTAAAACGGCACCAGCCGTCGCTCAAGCCTGCTGGGACAAAAATCTTCTTCATCCTTGAGTCAGCTCAGTGGGCAAATCTGTCAGATTGCATTTGTGATGCTCCCAGTGCTCGCTCTGTGCTCTTGTCATTGTGCAGAGGTTTGATTCCTCGTTGACATCACACGGCTCCTCTGTGTGTGTGTGTGTGTGTGTGTGTGTGTGTGTGTGTGTGTGTGTGTGTGTGTGTGTGTGTGCGTCGGCTGGACGGGGCACGGTCCGGCCAGCTCACTCTGGCTGAACCCTCTTACTCGCTTATCATCAGGAGGATGAGGTAAGTGCTAAAACACCGCTGAGAGGATCGCTGTGGAGCGGCCAGATGACTGTCTCTGTTTTGTTGGCATCGATTATTCAAACCCTGGACGAACCATTACCTCTCTACCTCGGTTTAATTAACCGACTTGGCCGGCGATGATGCTCATGACACCCAAACTCACAGCACTCAAGACCGCTCTGTCAAACAGAGATGTTCACACACGGATGCGAGAACGGAGTCGACGTCTTTGGGAGCTATAATTACCAAGTGTTGAATAGACCTTAACCTGAATGCTGATTGGTTACAGGCCATTAGGGACAGCTGACACGCAGCCTTCGACTTGTCCTACACCGCTCGCTCTGCAGTGATCTGATTTTGCACTATGCGCGCACAAAAAACTTGTGAAACAAGCGAAATGTTGCATCAGATTAACTGAGACTTCTGTCCCGAGAAAGCCGCGCAACCGCCCAGTGAATTTCCCCAGTGTGAGACTCTGTCATATTTTTCTGGTGAATGAAACATAAATTGAAACAGCGCATCACAGGGCACAGTGTCAGAGAGAAACTGGATATTTGTCATCGCTTCGTTCCAACCTGGCGGTTCAGAGTAGTAAAACAACGTGGGAAATAAAACAAAAAATATATATATTTATTTTTTTTAAAAAGAGAGTGTGTGTATGTGTCTGGGGCGGGGGGGGGGGGGGGGGGAGTTTTCTTTGATTGGTATAAAATTGAGTGGGCAAACGCAAGCAAACAAACCGCAAGACAAAAGGGCTGCCGGTCGATTTGGTTTTCAATCTCACTGCTACGCATGTGAATCTCTGGGGTGCGTGTTCCTATTTCAAATCCACCATCTGTACCCCATCACTCTCACTGCTCATACTGGAAACTTGATTTACTAAGCTTTAATTCACCCGACTATATTTATACACCTTCTGAGGAATTCACCAAGACATGCAGAAGGGTTTGGCAGTGCCTGAATCCATCTGAACGTCAGCAACGCAAGGCTTATTACTGCCAGAGCATACCCCGAATATAATTGCATTCATCTTAGTAAGTCGTAATCATAAATAAGCAAGAATAACCTTTTGGCAAGGACACGGGCGCTGATGAATTAGTAGTGGCGACTTCGTGACCTCGTTTTCGTGAGGCTTTTCTGGCCAGAGAGGCCCCAGAATGAAACTTAACATTAAACTGACATGAGCTGCCTTTTGGTGATACAGCCCGCTATGAGCCTGGTCAAAACCATCATCATCATCATCATCATCGCCAGAGCCCATCTACCAATCACAGGCCGTATGTCTGAGATAGGAAAAAACGCAGCAGCCTGGAGTTGAAAAGGGCATAAAAGAGGATCACTGGTACACAAACATCGTCCAGTGCAACAGGATTTCAAGGTAGGGTGAAAAGTGGTCATTTTAAAGAAGCCTCTTCCTGTCCGAGATGGATGAGCTGCAAATATGAGATTACATTTCCAGGTGTGGCTTAGCAAGATGATTAAAATAATCTACGGTAACAATGCCCCACGACCATGCTGGAAAACTTAATATCATCTGCTCGGGGGGCATGTTTAATGGAGCGTGCTAAGTGATATTCTCCGTGGATCTGTGCTGTCAATTTGAATTGGGTTCTGGTTTGAGTCACTCAAGTCCACTGACTCAATTAAACCCACCCACCCCTACTCCTGTGGACGCTGAAGTGTCTAGGTTTTATTCATGACTGTGGAGCAGCTGAGGAGGGTGCAATGCATGATTTAACAAAAACTCAAGTCCATCTTCAACTCTCACAACACCCCGCCCCCCCCGCCACACACACACCCCACACGACCTAGAGTTCGCACGGCACGGCAGGGCGCAAACTACACGCGCATGCGCAGCGTGGGATCTCTTCCTCCACCTACTTCCCTCTCATCCTTTTCTTTTTCCAACCCTCTTTCTCTCTCGCTCTCTCTCTTTCTGTCTGTGCCGCACTACTCTTTCTCTCTCCCGAAAGCATTTTGTGAGTGTATTTTTAGTATGGTTAACCCCCAGTGGAGAAGCGTAGTGTTAACACCCCATTGACAGTCCTATAAGTGCCATGCTGTACACTTTGAGGATCTGGTGGATACGCCCTGTTACATTTGCGCACTTTGAAAGACCCCCTGGAAACCTGATACAAATGAAACATAAGGTACCAGATCTCGCCCCCAAGATGTTTCAGCACTTAGAATGTGAACCTCGTGCTTCCATGTACGTGACTGTTTGTTTTTTGTTTTTGGGTGTGTGTTGAGGGGTTAAATGGTGAAGAGTGTGTGTGTGTGTGTGGGTGTGAGGGTGGGGGGGGGGGTATATCGAGGAAGCGTGCAAAGCGAGTGTGTTGAAATGAAACAGAGCGGAAAGGTCCTGCTGCTGCGAGGAAGCGAACCAGCTGTCTGAATAATGTGTAATGGAGAGATGAGATAGGATGTTTTCAGCACCCCGCCTGACACATCTATATCTGAGTGCGTGCTTTTATATATGTATGTAAACCTTAAACTTACACTCCTTGCGAGGCCTAAAGAGTGACGCTGCATGAAATCGTATATGCAGGCCCTGCGCAAACAAGCAAACAAGAAGGGGCCCGTGTATAAAGCTACAGCTGTTCTTTAGCTGTATCCATGCTTCCCTTTTGGAAACTGTACAATTAAACATTCATACAAAGCGAGCCAAACCTATAAATAGCTTGTTAAGAACAGAGAGGAGATTGTTGATAGGCTAACGGCAGCAACAATTTCAGTCACTTAAGGACACACGTGGGAAAAAAAAAGCAAAGCGATAGCAGGATGGGCTCTGAGCTTCCACTGGAGTTTCAGGTTTCTATTCATACATGCGAACAAACCGAGCAGCACAACTGTGGGGAGGACTCGCGTGTGACTAGATATGTCAGCAAGCCCAATTAGAGCAGGGGAACACCGGCGCGAGGTCTGTAATCAGTGCAATGCGCATGGTCCACCAGCCCAAGGTGGACTCTTGAACAGGCCATTTAGTCCTGGCCTGTTGTTTGAGATCAGTGGACTGTGCCATTATTTATTTATTTGTCTTTGCCAAGCAGATAATCAAATTATTCTCTGGGATCCTCAACTTCTTGCCAAAATGGCTTTGGGCTGCTGTAAAACGGGTATGTTATGTAATGTATTTGAAATTGTAATTAAAGCCTTGTTATCCCCAACACTGACCTAATCCCGCTGCCTCATTAGCATGCTCCATTAGCATTTTGTTGTGATCGCAAGGTTTACTGTGTTTTTTCGCTCGGGCTCAGAGGGCGTCCTTCGCTTTACTTTGAGCTGCGGAGCTGCTGGGTATAATTGCCTGGGTGCACGCTGCTTTCTCCTCCAGACCTTTAAGTTCAAAAACAGCAGAGTATCAGATGCACCGCGTGCGTTGCTCTCTGATATGTAGTCAGCCTCTGCAGGACATCTCGATGTTCTATTCTGCACTTTTTATTTTTAGTAGGGAAAAAATCACGAGATCCGGTCAATCAAAGCAAAATAGGCTCCTGTGTCCACGCATCTGTTGCACAGCTGCCTCTCATGCCATAAACTCTGTAGGGTTTCAGGATCTTTACTGCTCAGTCTGTCCTGTGGCTGAGGAGGTGGGTCGATTACTGCTCATGTGTTTCTATGCCACACAATATTGGCTACTATACAGCTTTTACAAGTTTATTTACCGAGAGACACGACAAACTAGTAATGACTGCCAACATTTACTAACAAGAGACTGTTATTTGTCATCCAAGAAAAAAGTGGGAGCAAATCATGAGAATATCTCTGCATATCATCTTTTCCTTTCCAAGAAGAAGGATGTACTAGTTTTTTGAAAAGTTTCTTATTCTGGCTGATTAATGACGGGGGAACTAAACCCTGCTCCTCCAGTGGTTAGATGAAAAGGCACCTTGAAGAATATTGGTGCGCAAAACATAAAATGCAACTCATTTATGAAAACAGATAGTAGGAGACAAACAGCACCAGTCACTGGAAATGACAGTGGCTTCTCAGTGGCCATTAGAAACTGCAGGCTACAAGATAAAAGGGACAGCTGAAAGATAATGCTACTATTGCCAATGAGGAGAAGGGACACAAAGGTAGCCATGATAAATGTCAACTTTACCTTCTCTCTGCTGTCTGAACATTTCAAATGTAGCCCACAAAGGATGAGGAGGAGGGTTGTGTGTGGCATGAACTGTGTGCAAAGCAACAAAGAAACCATACAACGGCGTCTCTCACCTTGGCTGCTCATCGACACCTGATATAAGGAGGGATGTGATTTATCAGGGATGGAGAAACCAGCAAGGTTACAGCCAAATGGAGGGGAGAGTGTGTGCCATTATTTATGAAGAGATATGAAGGCAGGCAGGCAGGCATGCAAGGCTGTGGAAACTCTGTCACAGTGAGGCTGGAGGTCCACTTCAGATAGCAGTTTGATTGTCATACAAGAGGGAGGGGGTGTCACAGGCCACACAGTGCATTACATAATTTTAGTTATGAGTGAAGGCAGGAAAGAAAGCTCACTGAGAGAGAAGTTGTTTTGCCTTGCTTGATAAATTCAGCTGGTAAAGAATTCACATGGGTTCTCTTATTTTGAATAGTTAGCATCAATATAAGGAATAACTTCCTGCAATCCTCTGTGCGTCTCACCTGGGTTCCGTAGCTTTTTGTTCCTGTACACGGACAGGATGACGAGGACGTTTCCCAGGATGTCTACCACGATGGTGAAGATCAGCACGCTGGCCAGCGCAGTGGACACTCCGGCCGAGGTAGCGCTCAGCCCGCAGTCGCTCTCATTCCGCAAACAGCTCGAACCGTTCACATTCTTCTCCTCTACATCCATCTCCTCCACCACCTCCTCAGGATGCAGCTGCCATGGTGGGCTTACAAGTGTTCAGATGAAAATTTGAAATTAAGAAGAAGAAGAAGAAGCACAAACCAAAAAGGCAAAATGACTTCACGGGAGGGTGTCTTGAACTTATTTGCGCATGAAACCACACTCCTCTGACTGTGGAGTACTAGGAGGCTCAGAGGACGCGAGTCCTGACATGATCTTTAGAATAGTCACACGCTTTGCCCATCCTAGGGGAAGTATGAAGTGAGAAAGGTTGGGAAAGCTCGAGTTTCACGGCGGCTCTGAGTGCGGTCAGTCACACAGGCTCCTGCTGCGCGCCGCTCCATTCTGACAGGGTAGCTCTTCCAGGAGGCATGTGAGCGCTGTCCTGTGCGTAATGGAAATCCGAGGATGCAAAAGCGTGCGCGCACAGAGCAACACGGAGTCTGATGGCTCTGAGAGCACTGTGAGCAACACAACCTGCGTTCAACTTAAATACCGAAGCTCATCACTTAAAAAAATAAAAATAAAAAAATCTGCCAGAATAAAGACTGGGGTCTGTTTGAAAATCTATAAATATACTCTGCCTCCTTAACCGCTGTGGTGTGCCATTCTTGCTGAATAACAACTCGTGTGATCCAAATGGAGACGCGGGCTGTGGAGAATCGTGGCCAGGGCAGTGCTGCTTATTTTCTAATCTGAAAACACGAGGAACTGTGACTAGCATATTCATCGTGGAGCCAATGTGACACATGATTTGTAAGAGCCTTTATTGTGAGAGCATCCAGAGGATCGAGAGAACATCCATGTGCATGGAAATGGCGCCTTCATGTGTCCAGAAGACATTCTTACAGTCAGATGCATACAGAGAAACAGAAGCTAATGATTTCATAATATATATA